TCCTTCCTGCTGGACTCCGGCGTAAGATTCTGCAGAATGGACAGGGCGCCACACGGAGGGCTCATGCCGACAAACTCGGGCTCCTCCACATCGATCAGATGCAGGATGTGGCGCCTATCTTCAGCTCGTCGGGCGTCCCAGCCGTTCTTCAGACCAAAGGCGCCGAGGTTCTGGAAGCCCAGGTTTTCGAACTCCACCGTTAGCCGCGGCTCCGAGAATAGTTCCAGACACTTCGGTTGCATCCCTAGCCGAGCCTGTGCTGCCTTAGCACCCTGGACCACCTCCTTCTTGGCCTTCCTGCTCATGATGTCCGTCATTCCCACGGTCCAGAGTGCCTCCGACTCCACCTCGTCGTCGCTGGTCTCAGGGCTCCGACCCGGCCCTACCGAAAACCAGTCGCCGCAGCCTCCACAGACTCCTCCAGCTCGATCGTCTCTGACGTTGCCATCACATCGACTTCTGCCGTCTGAATATTCTTATTCTCGCCGTTCTTCATCTCACAGAGATTCAGCTGGTAGTGTCCACTGGCGGCGACCTTCAGCGGCACCGCGACGTTGATCCTGGTGAATCTGATCTCGTCCCTCTCCATATCCAGGATAGCCCCGAGAGCATTAAGCATCGGCTTGCTGACCAGCAAGGGAGTCCAGCCTGGCACCACGCACAGCCGAAGGAGCAACATCCTTCCGCCAACGCGGCACTGCGTCTCAACCGAGTAGAGAGACGACAGTGTCTCCTGATTTCCAAACTTGAACGTCGTGGCCTTCTCTTGCTTTAGTACTTTCACCTCCAATCCTGCTTTCATCCTTTCCTGCCTGTGCTGCGCCAGGGTCTCCTCGCCGATCACTCCCTTACCGCATCCAGTGTCCACGACGCCGTTTCCTGGCTCATGAGCTGTCGTTTTCAGTACCTCCGGAAACTCCAAATCGCCGTTCTGACCGCTAAGGCTCCAGTACTTTTGGATGAGGGCCTGCGCGTCCTCCTCCAGCTCCTCGTAAGCATTGATGACCGCGTCCATCTCGTCCTCGGAGTTTACCTCATCGGACTGGGCGTCCTGGTGGATCTGCAGCTCCATCTGTACCTCGTCCTCGCAGACTTCGCACTCGAAGCTGTCGTGATCGTCCTCGACAGTGTACACCACGTTGACGCCCTTCTCCTTGCCCTTGCCTTTGCCGTCACGGGGTGGCGGTCGTCGCTGTCTTTTCGGCTTCTTGCAATCCCGACTGAAGTGGCCGACCTCGTCGCAGTTGTAGCATCGCACCCGCTTCGCCAAGGTTTTGATGTCCGGCTTCTTTGGTCCGAACCCTCGCGCCAGCTGCTTCTTGGATATATTGTTGCGCTGGTCTCGCCACGTCACCAGAATCTCGATGGCCTCGCTCTCGTCCAGAACTGCGTTCTCATCCTCGTCCTCCTGGAGGCCGGTCATCAGCGTCTCGATATCCAGGTGGCCATCTTCTTCGTCATCAATCACGTGTGCGTGGTAAGTCTTCTGCTGCTGGCCGAAATCGGTCGCACCGTTGGGGAATGTCGTCCTCAGTGCCGATGCTACGTCCCGCTCCTTGTACGATCTCGACGATGCCGCGAGCACCACTGCCATACATTGTGGTGGGAGATGCGCTCCCAGCAGCAATAGATAGCCTCGAGCCATGTCTGGCAGCACAACCCCCTCGGCCTCGCCCTTGGCGAACGTCGCCTGGGCCCTGCCGCAATGCGCTGCCATCGCCTCATTCTTCGCCAGCTTCAGCGAGAACACCTCCTGGAGCGCCTCGCCGAGCCTGTCATGTGCCGCGACGTCCGGGAAGCGCGCGTCGAGCGTGTCGAACAGCACCTGCTCGCCGCCTTCCGTCTCCAGGTCGTCCATGTCGATGATTTCCATTGCACGCGCCGCCACGTCGTCCAGCAGCGTGAACAGCGTCGGCCCCATGGCCGTCGGCGGTGCCCCCTTGGCCCGCTGCGCGATGATATATGCCCGAGCCCACTTCTTCCATACACGATAGTCACAAAATGCGTCGGCTCCACTGCCAGCAAATATCCTGATGCCGCCAGTCTGCCCAGCATCTGTGTTCATCAGGTTGCGCACCGCCGGCACTCGCCTGAGTGCCTCCCTGCAACAGCGCCTGCTATTGCGCGGCCCGCTCCGCTCTACCAATGCAGATGGCTTCGAGTATGGGGCCCCCGCCCCACCTTTCCTCACCAGAGGCAAGCCAAATGCTGGTTCACAGACTCAACGCGCACAGTGCACATCCAGGCCCAGCTGGGCATTCAATACTTCAGAGGTTAACCAGAGGGGGCCCACTAGGGCCGCACGTGACTACACACAGTCACTACGATCAGCACAATGGGGCCACGAAGCGCTGTACTGGGTGGGTGTGCTGGGTGGTGGCGGACGCATGCGGGCGGTGCCACTGGGACCTTCGGTGGGGCCCCCTATTGGGCCACGAAGCGCTATACTGGGTGGGTGAAACGCAGGGAACAATGGCTGTGCTGGTTGGCGGCGGACGCATGCGGGCGGTGCCACTGGGACGTTCGGTGGAGCCTCCCTTATGGGGCCACGAAGCGCTGTACTGGGTGGGTGAAACGCAGGGAGCAAGGGCTGAGCTGGGTGGTGGCGGACGCATGCGGGCGGTCCCAATGGGGGCTTCGGTGGAGCTTCCCATGGGGCCACGAAGCGCTGTGCTGGGTGGGTGAAACGCATGGAAGAGGGAGGAGGGTGGAGGAGGGGGAAGAGGAGGAAAAGATGAGAGGAGCGCGGGGACCGTCTCTTCAAAACGAGGACCCAACACGGTTGGGAAAAATGGAAACGGGCCGTGGAAGGCGCCCGCGGGCCGCTTCATTCAACAAACGATCCTGGCGAGTGACCCAACCATATGTAGTTGTGGGTACCGCAATGGTGAATATCTTCTTCGGTGAAGCTCCCTATGGGGCCACGAAGCGCTGCACTGGGTGGGGAGAACGCACGTGGGCGGTAACAGTGGGGCCGTCGGTGGAGCTCCCTATGAGGCCACGAAACGCTTTACTGGGTGGGCGAAAATGCCAAATTGGGTATGTCGGACGCATGGGGACGGTCCCACTGGAGGCTTCGGTGGAGCTCCCTATTGGGCCACGAAGCGCTGTACTGGGTGGATGAAGATGTCAAGTTGGGTTTCCGGGACGCATGCGGGCGGTGCCACTGGGACCTTCGGTGGAGTTCCCTATTGTGGCCACGAAGCGCTGTACTGGGTAGGTGAAAAATGTTAAATTGGGTGTGGCGGACGCATGCGGGCGGTCCCACTGGGACCTTTGGTGGAGCCCCCTACTGGGCCACGAAGCGCTGCATTGGGTGGGTGAAACTGCCAAATTGGATGTGTGGGACGCAACTGGGCGGTCCCACTGGGGGTTTCGGTGGAGCTCCCTATTGGGGTTACGAAGCGCTGTACTGGGTGGGTGAAAATGTAAAATTGCGCGTGCGGGACGCATGCGGGCGGTCCCACTGGGGGTTTCGGTGGAGCTCCCTAGGGGGCCACGAAACGCAGTACTGGGTTGGTGAAAATGCCAAACTGGGTGGGTGAAAATGCGGACGGCCCCACTGGACACGAAGCCTTGTACTGGGTGTGGCGGGCGCATGTGGCCACCCGTACGGGGCCACGAAACGCTGTACTGGGTGTGGCGGACGCATGTGGCCACCCCCACTGGGGTTTCGGTTGAGCTCCCTACGGGGCCACGAAACGCTGTACTGGGTGTGGCGGACGCATGTGGTACCCCCACTGGAGCCTTACGTGGAGCTCCCTAGGGGGCCACGAAGCGCTGATTTGGGTGTGGCGGACGCACGTGGCCACGCACACTGGGGCTTTCGGTGGAGCTCCCCATGGGGCCACGAAGCGCTGTACTGGGTGTGGCGAACGCATGCGGCCACCCCCACTGGGGCTTTGGGTGGAGCTCCCTATGGGGCCACGAAACGTTGTACCGGGTGTGGCGGACGCATGTGGTACCTCCGCTGGGGCCTTGGGTGGAGCTCCCTATGGGGCCACGAAGCGCTGTGCTGGGTGTGGCGGGCGCATGTGGTACCCCCAATGGAGCCTTACGTGGAGCTCCCTATGGGGCCACGAAGCGCTGTACTGGGTGTGGCGGACGCATGTGGCCACCCCCATTGGGGCCTTGGGTGGAGCTCCCTCTGGGGCCACGAAGCGGTGTACTGGGTGTGGCGGACGCACGTGGTACCTCACTGGGGCCTCAGGTGGAGCTCCCTATGGGGCCACGAAGCGCTGATTTGGGTGTGGCGGACGCATGTGGTACCCCCACTGGGGGGGGGGGCACGGGAGGAGGAGACGCGGGAACCGTTTCTTCAAAACGAAGACCCAACACCACAGGATGGTTGGGAAATGCTAGGGAAACGGCCCCCCGACGGCCATTAATGCCCAAACCCGCGGCCCTCGCCCCTCCCTTGGACCCCTCCCTAGAGGACGTCGCCCCACCAGAACGTCGTCAGTCGTATCTCGCTCTTTCCGTTCAACCCTGAACGATCGGGGCCGAAATCAAGTCAAGGCTGAACGATGGACGCGGCGTCAAAAACCTTTGCGCCCGCCGACGCCGCACGAGCCTGCCGTATCCTGAGCCAGCCGTATGATGTTCCAACTTGCTTTAGCCTTGATCACCAGCAAGATTTTCGAGCACCAAGCAAATACTTACACTGGAAGCTTTTCACGTGTCGGGCCCTGGGAGGCGATACTCGTTCGACATTGCCTCGATACCTTTCTCGGCGCTCGAAACATTATTTCTGGGGTGTGGTCCTCTAGTACGACGGGGGCAACATAATGCCAGCCCCCCTCTCGACCCCACTACTCGTTCGACACCGTTTCGATACTTTCTGGGTGCTCGAAACATTATTTCTGGGATGTGGTCCTGGAGTACGACGGGAGCAACATAGAGCCAGCTCCCATGTCGACCCCACTCGACTCCCGGTGCTCCTCGGCGCTCTCGCCTCTCTCCCCCGCCCCGGCCCCGCTGCCCTGCTGGCCCGAGCCCAGGCCCACGGAGCCGCTGCCCGGCCCCGACGACGCGGAGCTGTACGTGAAGAACCTCCCGCTCCAGGACACGGCAGGCTGGAGAATAGGACGACGACGATTCCGACGACGACGACGATGCTGACGCTGACGACGACGACGACGCTGACGACGACGCTGACGACGACGACGACGACGATGCCGACGACGACGACGCCGACTACGACGACGACGCCGACGACGACGACGTCGACGATGACGAGGATCCCATTAGATGCAACTGTGCCGGCATGGCGGCACAAGGCCAAGCGCCTAGTCCAGCAAGAAAACGGGCAAACGACAGAATTCGGGTCTAGGAACGCCTCTTAGGAACAGAGAGTCCCGACCGAGAGCTTGGTATCCTCCAGGGCCGTGCCATGAATTAGCCAGCCTCGGCCTCGCGAACCTGCAGACAAGCCCGAAAGGCGTGCATCCCAGGGGTCTCTCTGCAACCCCTGCGGAGCAGCTGCAAGACGACGTCCCGCCCGCTGGCTCAGACAGGCATCTGAGCACCCCTTGTGTCAAGCGCAGGTCTTCCGAGGCCAATGCCTCTGCGGGCTTCGCCCAAACCGGGCATAGCCAGGACCCCAGGTAAGGTTACCCCGTTAGTAGTAGGGCACCGGAGCACCTAAATTGGCCAGAATCATTGAACCAGGTTTGCCGTAGTTGGTGCTTTTTCGGGTGACGGCAGTTCCGGTTGGGCGAGGGAGGCCTCCTCCAGTACATGTCACTAAACCAGGTCCCACTAAACCTACAGTCAACCCGCATAATAAGGATGGGCAGCCTTCCCAAGGGTATCCTTGCATCCTTGCCCCCTCGGTCCATCCTTCGCCACCTTCGTTGGCCGCGCCCCGCTCGAAGAGCTTCGAATTGGGCGTCCAAGGCCATCGCATCCTTATCGCGCATCCTCACTGCACGGGTTGACTGTAGTTCCGCCAGCGCCCGACCAGGGCGGAGGCGCCGCTGCTGATGGGGCCCCCTCGGTCCGACAGGGTGCGTTCGCACCGGTGGGCTGGCAATTGGCAGGCCTGCGCGCGGTCCCGCGCAGAAGAGCAGAGGGCGCGATCGTGTCGTCCAGGCGGCCTGCAAGCTACGATTATGTCAAAAGGTTGGATTGTTTTTTGATCTGTTTGGAGCAGATTTTGAATCTGTTTAATTTTTTTCTCAAACTTTCACCTGTAGGAGGACACGCCCGACCTAAAGCTGTGACGGTGGACACTCGCGCTGCCACGCAGTTCGGGGAAGACAGGGTCGGTGGTTCAAAGATGGGGTTCAGAGGAACGGGGCCCCAAGGACAGGAACAAATGCAGGGTTGGATTTTCGCTGTTGTTTGAGGCGCGTTGTCCTCAGGCCCCCATCCCTGACGAACGAACAGCACACACACACACACCCATACCCATAGGGAGGTCAGAGGGAGAAGGACTGGCTGTAGGATGGGTGCGGGTTGTCGAACCCCTGGGGAGGCTCCAGTTCGAGCGGGGACCCTCATCCGACAAGAAGCACCCATAGCTCATTCCGTCCCCCCCATGGGTATGGGTGCGTGTTGATCGTTCGTCAATCCCTCAGGACCCCACCCTTGAACCACCGACAGGGGGACTCTCCGTTCTCCACCAAAGCCAGGTCTGAACCGGCCCACAAAGGCACCGAGCACGCCTCACCTTACACCCGCCCGCAGGCGACCACTCGCGACATTAGGGCCCCATGGGTCGTCCTTTGCATCGAAGAGGGCACGATGGCAGTACATTGGCCACCAAAGTCAGAGTGGCGGGAGAAGGAGGAGGAGGAGGAGGAGGAGGAGGAGGAGAAGAGGAGTTGGAGGACGACGACGAGGAGGAGGAGGACGAGGAGGAGGACATCGGACGAGGAGGTCATCGAACGAGGAGGACATCGGACGAGGAGGACATTGGAGGTGGAGGAGGAGGAGGAGGAGGAGGCGGAGCACGAGAAGGAGGACATCGGAGGAGGAGGAGGAGGAGGAGAATATGGAGGAGCAGGAAGAGGAGGAGGAGGAGGATGAGGAGGAGGAGGAGGAGCACGAGGAGCACGAGAAGGAGGACATCGGAGGAGGAGGAGGACGACGAGGAGGAGGAGGAGGAGGAGAAAAAGGAGGAGGACGAGGACGAGGATGACGAGGACGAGCACGACGAGGAGCATCGGTTGGAGGATGGCCGACAGCCTATGCCGCCGCGGGCCCGGCCTCCCCGCCGCCGCGGGCGCCAGGCCTTGCCAGGCGCCCGTCGGTCCCTTCGGCCACCCACAGGGGACTCCCACCGCGGAGGAAGGGCCGCCAGTGCGGGGCCCCGCGGCTGCTGCGGCGAAGTTTGCACCGCCTTGAGTTCCAAAATGAATGCTGGCTTCTGAAGCGGTTTGTTGTGAAGGCCTTGCGGCCAGTGACGCCGACCCTGAAGGTGGACGACGACTGCGGCGGCGGCAACGACCACGGTTTCTACAACGGTTTATCTCAGCTGATCTCAGAATCTTCCAATGGGTTGTTGACCATTGGCTCAAAAAGAAAAGCGGAGCGCGACAGACGAAGCAGACAGATCCGGTCCAGATGCAGCAGCAGATGCAACACAGGCGGACCGAGATATAAGATCGCGGTCGGTTCGGATAGGGTACCCTGACGCTCTTCGTGCTTGTTGGATGCTCTTGCGCGTCCTGGAGGGGGGTACCCCTGAACGTCCTGCTTGTTTTGGCCGGTGGAGGGTCTCATGTTCTTGAGGGATGTTCCTCTGGCCTGAGTGCGACTGTATTTAGGGGAACGAAAACTGACATAAGGATAAAACGTCGGGTGTCCGCGCGGATTTCTCGGATCCGCGCTGGACGCCCCTGGCGGCGCCTCGGCGCCGCCCCTGGCGCGCTCCGCGCGCCAGGGAGGGGGGTCCAGCGCAGATCCGAGAATTCCGCGCGGACCTCCGAGCTGTTATATGAATGTCATTGTTTCTTCCCGTAGTAATTCACCGATGGCGTTCCACTACTCGCAAAGTGCCTACTCGATGGGGTCCGAAAAAACACGCACCTGCTTTGATGTAATTTATGCTAGATCCCCCGCGGCGGATCCAGGCCATTTGCGAGTAGTCACTTTGCGAGTGGTGGAACGCGCTCGTCTCTGAATGACGACGACGACGACGACGGGCGCTCTCGGGGGCCTCTTGGGGGCAGCTTGGGGGCCTCTTGGGAAGCTCTTGGGTGCCGCTTGGAAGCCTCGTGGGGGGCCTCTCGGGGCTTCCTGTCGTTGTCCGTTCCCCTGGGACCCCGCAGCCGCGTCGGAGTGCGGTCGTCGGGTCGGCGCCCGCGGAGCCCCCGGTGCCGCGGGCCGCCCCGCCGCCCCTCCCCTCCCCTTCCCCCGCTCGACGGCTGCAGCGGGGGGCGCACGGCCCCAAGCCTGCGGCGCGCGTGGGGGGCAGGGGATCGAAGAAGAACAAGCGACACATGACAATCAAACTCGAAGAAGATCGAAGAAGAGCGAAGAGGTCGAAGAGCAACATGTCGAAGGCATCGAAGAAGAAGAGGATCAATCAGATCGAAGAAGAGGCTTCTCCGATCGAGAAGATCGAAAAAGAAGTAGGCACGCAAACATAAACTTTCGGCGCTCCTCGCAGATTTCTCGGATCCGAGCTGGGGCCCCCTGGCGGCGCCTCCGGCGCCGCCCCTGGCGCGCTCGGCGCGCCAGGGAGGTGAGCCCAGCGCAAATCCAAGAACTCCGCGCGGACCGTCGAAAGTTTCTCTTTGTGTGTTTTTGTTCTTCCTCCAGGTGAGAAGGTCAGAAGGGAAAAACAACACAGACACAAGCAATCGTCGATTCCCACGAATACGGAGCAAGATGGGGGATCCTAGAGTCTGTGTGTATTCCTGTGTGCGTTCCTGGGCCCCTTCCGATGTGAGGAGGGGAAGGCCCTCTCAGAATCGGGGGTGGCCCAAGGTACCCCTGGCCCAAGGTACGTACGGTCAACCCGCATGGGAAGGGTGAGCAACCTTCCCAAGAGTCCCCTTCCATCTTTGCCATTTCGGCCCATCCTTAGCGACTTTCGCTGGCCAACTTCGTTCGAAAAACCTTGACATGGGCCTCCAAGGCCCTTGTATCCTTACCGCGCATCCTTATGATTCGGTTTGACTGTACCCAAGCTTGTCGCACCATTTGGAGCCCCCGGGGCCCTCTGGGCCTCGTGAGGGTTGCGCTGGAGGCCGTGGGGGCCTCCCAGGAACTCCTGGGGGCACCGTGGACCAGGGCACTTCTCTGGCAGCACACAGCAGTAAGGGCGGCGGGGCTCGTCGGAGAAGCCCTTCCCGGCCTCCCGCGAGGGTCTTTTGCTCTTCCGGGGAAGGCTCAGCAGGCCTCAGCAGGGCAGGGGATTTCGAGCTTTCTTCGGACGGGGCGAGGACGAGGATAAATCCGAGAGCGTTCCGGACCGCTCTGAGCAGGCCACGGCGCCCGATACATTCTTCTAGGCCTTCCAATGGGATCCGAGTAGATCGGGTCGGAGGATCGCGCCGATGTATCGGCGATGCGGCTCGATGCGCAGCCCGATTTACTTCACGTCGACGTCGCCGATGCATCACCGACGTCGACGATGCATCGCTGGTGCATCGCCGATGCATCGCCGATGCATCGCCGATGCATCGCCGATGTATCGGCGATGCGGCGCGGTCCTCCGACTCCATCTACTCCGACCCCATCAAGGAGGCCTCCACATATTCAGAAGACCTCCTCAGAAGGGCAGGGGACTTCCGAGCCTTCTTCGGATGGGGCGAGGACAGGGATTCGGGGACAGTTTTGGAGCGGGTTGAGGATCACCGTCGGGGACAGAGTTTTGGAGCGGGTTGAGGATCACCGAACACGTTCACCCAGAGATCCGACGCCCCCAAAAAATTGGAGCGGCGGGATTACGGCAGTTTTCGGCCTCCGGGGGCCTTCGCCAGGCCTCGGGAGGATCAAAAAACGGCTCAGGATGAAAAATTGGTCCCAGGGAAGTGGTCTGGACTTCCAGGGTCCACGCATCAACAAAAATTGGAGTGGCCGGATGTCAGGGTATTCGCGAAGTGCTTGCTCGCAAACGCCCACAAACGCCTACCCGCAATCGCCGATGCATCGCCGATGTATCGGTGATGCGGCGCAATCCTTCGACCCCGTCTACTCCGACCCCATCTGGGAGGCCTCAATGCCGATGCCGATGCCGTTCCCTCGTCTTCGCGTTCCCTCCACCGACGGCCGGGCCCGTTCCAGCACTCGTCCACCGCAAATGCCGGAGGGTCGGGAGCCCCACCGCAGCGGGCGTTCAGGCACCGCCCTCTGGCCGTCCTGACCTTGACCTTTAGCGTAGTGATATCGCTGACATCGAGTAGATCATTGTGCTTTCGTCGTAAGACTGGTCAAAGCGCCTGAGCCAACATATTATCAGACACTCCACTGAGCCGCTGCTAGATAGGCAGCACACAGCTAATCATTCACAACCTTGACCTTGCCCTCTCCTTCTCCATGGCGTACATTTCCTCCTGCTCCTCCTCCTCCTGCTCCCTTCGCTTGCTCTTGCTCTTCATACTCTCATCATTAGCCTCTCCTCCTGCTGGTCTCATCCTCTCTATTCCGTTCTCCCGCCCCCTGCTTCTGTTGCTGGCCCTCTTCCCTTCTCCTGCTCCGATTCCGCCCTCCTCTTCCTGCCTCCTTCCTCCCTCCTTCCGCCTCGGCGGCTCGCGGTGCCGCAACGCCTGAGCACTGGCCCCAGCCCTTGGTGGCAGGACATGGATAGGCAGCAGCTGGTGGAGTACTTCGAGGGATTCGGCGAAGTCGAGGAGCGACCGCGAGGAGGAGGAGGAGGAGGAGGAAAAGGTGGAGGACGAGCAGGAGCAGGAGGAGGAGGAATAGGAGGAGCAGGGGGAGGAGGAGGAGGAGGAAGAGCAGGAGGATGAGGATGAGGAGGAGGAGGAGGAATGTCACGAGGCCAGTCCTCCAAGAGGCTATCCAGTAGGTGACGTTGTCCGTGGTTAGGGTTAAGTCGGGCGTGGCCTATAAAGGGGGAACATTCAAAAATATGTATAAACAAATGCTCTGGGAACTTATGCTCTGGGAACTTATGCGTATGTCTTTGTCTATTTCTAATTTTTCGTCCCAAATCCGCCTGTGACGGGACATGCCCGACCTAAGGTTAGGGACCTGGGACAATAACCTTAACGCCAGGGGCCCCCCCGTGGAGACGGGGGTGGTGACCCATTCGGGTGCCCCTAGGCCTTTTTTTGAGGAGGAGAAGGATTTGGACGAGGAGGAAAATGAGGAGGAGGATTTGGAGGAGGAGGAGGAGGAGGAGGAGCGAGGAGGATATGGCGGATAAGGAGGGACGCAGAAGATGAGGAGGAGGAGGATGGTAAGGAGATGGAGAAAGCATGAGTACAGGAGGATCTGAAGCACCAGGGCGCGGGGTGTGGGGGGCCGGAGGCGTCGGAGCTTGGAGCTGGAAGGAGAAGGACGAGGAGAGGGCTCGGCCACGTTCAAAGGTGGGTAGGCAGAGGGGGGAGGGCTTCTTAGAAGCACCCCTGCTTCTAAGAAGCCCTCCCCCCTCTCCCTTAGCCCCCTCTGCGCGCCGCCAAAGGGCTGGCGACCGCAGGAGGAGAATGCGAGCCCCTCAGCCAAGTGTGGGGGTGGCAAGGGGCCCTTAGCATCGTTCTGGCGTGTGCATATTCTTCTCGGCGAGGGCCATCGAGGAGTAAATGATCACGGGGAATGGGCGTCCGAACGACGGCAAGAGGGGGGCGAAACGATCAGGGGCGGGTCCGCCTAGAGGCAAAAGATCGAGGTCAAGGGGGGTGACCAAAGGGGGGACGATTGGAAACGGGGTAGGGCCGCCTACGGTCGGACCGATGCTGTTTGGCACCGGTCCCATGGATCGAGGAACACAAATGGCACAAACATGAACTTTTGGGGCTCCGCGCGGATTTTTGGATCGGCGTTAGGGACCCCCCTTGCGCGCTCCACGCGCCAGGGATGGCGGGTCCCAGGCGCTGAGACAAGAGATCCGCGCGCAACGCCAAAAGTTTATGTTTATGCCGCGCTCCGTCCTTCTAATTACGGTTAGACCGAGGTATAAGATCGAGGGCGCTTCGGGTTGGGTGCCCTTGGGCTCTCTCCGTGCTTGTCAGGTGCTCTTGTGCATCCTGGAGGAGGGCACCCTTGAAGGTTCTTCCGTTTGGCCAGCAGAGGGTGACACGTTATTGGATGGTGTTGTTTTTGTCTCAGGTCTGGCCGCATCAGAGGGACATTCGTCGGTCCCCCACGTGAACCACGCAAAAAAACGGGATCGTCTGCGCCGACGTTGGCGCGTAAGCTGTCCGCGTAAGGTCGCGCGTGAGCGCCCTCATCTCCAATGCAGCGCACCGCGCTGGCGGCCCGCACAAGCCACCGCGTAAGCTCGCCACGTCATCTCGCGCAAGACCCGTTTTTGATCGTCCCTCACATGTTCCGTCCCTCTGGCCCTGCGTTCTGGCCCTGCGGGCATCGTCGGACTCTTCGGCGTCTGGGCGTCCCTTGTTCCTCTCGGGCATCCCCCTTCCCTCTCTGCTCGCCGGCCGATTCGCCAGTTCGCGCCCCTACCTAGCTCCTCGCTGGAGCGGAGTTCGCCGCCTCGCCGCTGACGAAAAATGAAATGTTCCGTCCCTCCGGGGCGGGCCCCCGACAGGGCGACCCCACCTCCCAGGGGCACTGCGGGGGGGGGGGGGGCGCCCTCTGAGAGCCAGGGCCCCTGGCATCTGGCCTGCACGGCCCGGATGCCGAGAGCCTCCACCGCGGCGCGAGATGAGAGCACGAGTGCCTTCGATGAGTAAGGGGGGGGGGGGGGGGCGAGAACGGTGCCTTTTTCGGGCCATCAGGGCCCCGTTTCTGGGCCCGAAGGGGCCCCTGTAGGGGCCCGGCAGGGCCCCTTTTGGTCAGCCCCCGCTGCCCCCTCATTTAGCGCCCCCCACATGATTTTGCGGACGACGGTCAGTGGAGAGGAAGCGTGTTGCCAACAAGTTCCCAGACGTCTAAAACATGTCTTTCATGTGTCTTAAACATGGAACAACACATTTTTTGAACATGTTCAGAACATGTATCAAACATCCGAAACGCATTCTTAGTTCAAGGATCGGATTGTTCGAGTGTACGCTGTCATGGCATCCACAACGCTAAATCGCGCCCGGAGCCCGGGGCTCACTTGCTCCGTGGCCCCCTAGAAGCTCCACAAAAGACTCAAGCCGTAGGGCTCGCATGCTTGACCACGCCCGTTTTGGCACACCCCTCGCACGCTTCCTGGACCCACAGGGAACTCCACCTCAGACCCCACTGGGTGCGTCTACATGCTGACCCGGTCCATATCGCTCGCCCCCACCTGTTTTCCAGGCCCCGTTCGAAGCTCCGCCTAAGGTCCCAGTTGGTGCGTCCACGAATGATGGGCAACCTTCCCACGGGTACCCTTGCATCCTTGCCCCTTCGGCCAATCCTTGGCGACTTTCGCTGGCCAACCTCGTTCAAAGAGCGTTCACATGGGCCTCCAAGGCGCTTGCATCCTTACCGCGCATCCTTATGATACGGTTGTCTGTAGGAAGCCCCAGTGGCGGCGACCGCCCGGCGGGATCCCCCCCCATCTCGCAGTGCCGCATTGCCTCTGCCACGTTTCTCGGGTGCTCCGCAGGGAGCTCCACCTGCGGATCACGTGCAGGTGACCGCCTGGCGCCTCCGCTCCGCCTCGCCCACCCATTGCCACGCCAGGGAGTTCCCTGGGCTTCTTGTGGGTTTCGATGGTGCTCATATGGAACGCGTGACGCTCCAATCTCGAAGAAATCAAATGGACGTCCTGGGAGCTCCAGGTTGGGTTCCTTATGGACGGTTTCTTGTGGTAGAGCTCCTACTTGAAGGCCCCATTGGGAACCCCGCCCAGTTGCCCCAGTGGCAGGGTTCGCATGGCGGCCATCCCGTTCTCTTCGGCGCACTCCATCCCGAGGATTGGGTCGGGCATGTCCTCCTGCAGGGGGACTTACTTTGGACGAACAATCAAACATATTCCTCCAAAAAGAACCAACAATAACCGAAGGTACTCAAAACATCGCCCCCTATTATTCTTGGACTATTTTGAGCCTCCTTCCTGTAGGGGGGCGCCCGACTCGACCCGAGCACCGGGAGCTCCCACCTCCAGCCCCAGTGGCGGGGTTCGAGTGGCGGCCTTCCCCGTCCGGCGCACCGCCGACGATGGTCGTGACCCCATGGGCGTCCGTCGGGCCTGTCCCTCTACAGGGGGAATATTCAAAGACAGCCAAACAACAGTCGGGGGAGCGTAAGACCCGGGTTTGCCGGGACTCGGGTTCGCCACCGTTTTTTGACGACCGCGCCTCGGATTTTGACGATGAGGAGTTTCGTGGGATGTTTGCAGCGGGAGGCCTCGTCAAAATGCAGGCTCGGCCTCGTCATTTTTTTGACGACCTCGTCGGGGATTTCTGAGTCCCCCGTAACCGGGTCTTACGTGTCCCCGAAACAGTCAGAAGACGAATTTGTTTCTCATTTTGACTACGTTTGCGCATTCGTCGACTATGCAGGGCTTGCGCTGCTCTGTCGACTTTAGCTGACGGCGCGCGGCTGCCCGCGTCGCGCGCGAGCATGAAAGTATTATTCGATTGTGTTTCATGTTTCTGCCAGAATCCGCCTGTAGGAGGACGTGCCCGACCTGACCATGGGCATTGCCACTAACGGCCCAGCCCAGTTGCAGGCTTCGCAGGCCCCACCCCCCACAGGAATCTGCACTTACAGCCCCAGTGAGTCAGTGCCAGTGCGGGCCCGCTCTTGATTCGGCACACCTCGGCGGCGAGCCCGGGGGGGAAGCGAGAAGGAGGAGGCCTTCTCAGAAGGCTCGGAAGTCCCCCAGCCCTCTGAGAAGTTCCTGGATCCTTCTCCGAAGACGCAGAAGATTCCATCGGAAGGCGCGAGGGCTCCTGAGAGGCCCCGACGCCTCCTGAGAAGTGGCCTCCCTCTCACGCCCCCCCCCTCGCTCGCCGCCGATCCCAGCGAGGCTGTGCCCGATGCGGGCCCTCGCCAGATTTGGCGCGCACGCCCCTCACGCGGAGCGCGATCCTCCCCGGCCGCAGCCTAAAAGTCCAGCTCCTCCTCCTCCTCCAGCTCCTCCTCCTCCAGCGCCTCCGCCCTTCGCGTGTTGCCAGTGCTCTCAACGCCGAGTACTTCCGCGCCTTCGGCGAGGGCTGGGTTCTCTGCAGCGACCAGAGAGCTGGCATGGCCCTGGACGCGGCCTTGGCGCCGAAGGGAGCTTACAGCCCTCGACCCCCGCAGCCTTGTTGCCACCTGCCCTGGCCGAGGAGGTCGGGGACGCCTTCGCCGCGCGTGGGCACGACGTGTTCAGGGGCAACAGTGTTTACTGTTGCAGACGCTGCGGGTTTCACTGTGCTGCGGGAGATGTCCGTACAGTGCGGAAGCTTGGCTTGAGGTGCGATCGGCTCTCGCCCAACGAGTCCACGCGCCGCAACCAGCAAGATGCGATCAGGCGCGTCGAGAAGAGAAGGGCCTGGCGCCTCGTGCCCGACGTACCCTAGCAGCGCCGCTCCCGCAGGGTGGCTCCTCTTGCAGCCACGCGGTGCGATGATCGACCGTGTCGTGATTCGCTGCCGTTCCGTTTTCGGCTGGTGGCACGGCGTCTTCTTCGCTGGCGACGCCTTCTTCGTCGGCGGCAAGTTGGCCTGCGTCCGCGGCCTTGAGGGCGACTTCTTCCAGCCCCCCTCCTTCTACATTGCCTCCAACTCTTACTGCACCGTGCCGTGAGTAG